CAGAACTGCTTGGAATAGTTAAGATGAAGTCCAAGCTCAAAATAACATTACAGGGTGGTTTTTTTTTTTTTTTTTCTTTCCTGTACCCGGAATTGATTGGATGAATTTGGATCTCTTACCCATGGTGTGAAGTCACTTTAAATAACACAAACTGAGTGTATATTGGGAAACATATAATAGCATAAACCAATACAATACTCCAGCACACTGGAGACTGTTCCTTTTGCCAGCGTTTGGTAAGGGAGAAAATGGTAAGCTTGAAGCAAGCAGAAAAGACTCAGAACAGTTGAGAATTAAAAAGTCATATTGCCTTCTGGCTGTCATGCCTAAAAATAACTTAAATGTATTGGATATTCCTGACAGTGACAATGTCTAGTGAAATCATCGTAACATGCAGATGAAGTACTTCTAGGAAACAGTAGAACTAAGAAGCTTTCAGGGAAGAATGCCATCTCTCCATAAACAACCTGCAGTACGTAACTGCATTGTTGCTTGTGAGATACATACCAAACACCTCAGGGGATTTTGGCTTAATTTCTTCTCTGAAGCTGGAAGACATTTTCTTAAGAGATTTATCAGTTCTTGGTGCACCACGCCCAGTCCTCAGAAATGGTGAGCTCTTCTTTGGGATGTTAAATGTTTTCAGGTGACACTAACACCAGGGATGAGGGAGCCTTCTAAAACTGATCTGAAAAATACCTACTTGTAAAATTGGTTCAAGTGAAGTTTGTGGAAATGAGGTGTTCCAAACAGTGTTTTCAAAGGCAGGACCTGCCTGGTGCTTCTGTGGTCCACTCGGAACCTGCAGTCTCAGGGGTTCCTTACCACTGCAAATCCTGAATGCTGGGGACACCACTGCTGCCCATGTAACGGCTCCTCACCTTTGGATTCATAGCCAGAAGGCTTCAGAATTGATATTGTCACCAAACTGATTATTAGGCTGAAGAGCAACCCCATGGTGAGGAGGAGAAAGGTTCAACACAAAGTGAGAAGTCTTCATGCAATGTTTTGTTAAGCTGTGGGGCTCCCTGCCAAAGGATGCTGAGGGTGCTGAAGGTCTAAGCTGGTTGAACAGAAAACTTTTGACTGTTTATGAACATACAGAAAACACAGCTGGCTCAGGAGGTGCCCGAGCTGGTGGTGATGGGATAGCTAGTATCACCACAGCCTGCCTTGTTCTTGATCATTTTTAGCATCTTTATCATTTTTTCATCATCTGTTTGGGCAATGATGGAGATACGGTACAGAGCTGGATACTGGGTTTAATGGACTTTTGATCTGACCCAGTAGGGATGCATTTTTTTCTTTAATGTTCAAAGTCAAGCTGTCAGTTGATTTAGGATACCTGAGACATTTCTGAAAAGATAAAAATTCAGACATCCCAATTCTGCTAACTTCAGTGACAGGTACTTCAAAAGCATATGGGTGCCTGAGGTCTAAATTCATCACTGCTCTTGTGAAACTTGAGTGCGTTAGGAACGGGGTCAATAGGAGTACCAGTATGGAAAACCAGGAGGATAGAGCTCCAGGCCTGCTGAAGCAAGCGGGAGTGGAGTTTTGTCCTTGACTTCTGTGGGGCTAGGATTTTACTTAATCCTTTTATTTTCCATTTCTCACCCTACAAGAGCCAGAGGATATAGGACTGAAATAACAAGTCATGCCTTTGAGCTGATATGTAGAAGTATTTCTCCAAGCAATTGATTTTTCAAAGTTAATGTCTGGGAAAGTATTTGGGTGTAAACTACAACTAAAAATCTTTTGGTCCTGCTGAGACAAATTTACATAAATAATACGCCTTTTTATACTGCAGGGCAGAAACAGACTGCCTAGGATTCGGAAGATGGCATTGCATTATCTGTTTTAGGTGGCTGTTTTTTCACAACTTCCTTGAGCATGTATGTTGGAGAAGGGCAGATTGGATGGATATTTTGTTTAATTTGATATGGTCTTTGGTTAAAACAGACTTCCTGAAAACATGCAAACTCTTCTACACATTGAAAAGCAAAGGGAAAATTTTAAAGTAACGGCTGTTTTATGTGTTGACAAATTAAATGTTACCATGGATACCCTGGTCTGTTTACAGCAATAATAGTAATAATAAATATTTTCAATTCACACTGTGCTTTTCATCTCAAAGGATCCTCAGGTGGTTTACAAATGACATACATGGATTGCTCTACATGGCACTGAACCGCAGCCCCACGAACTGCCTAACAATCTATATTGGTACTGCCTGTCAGTGGAAGGTAGAAAATGTACTGTACCCTGAATGAATCTGTAGGGATTGTTTGGGGAAGCAGAATGTAAATGGCAGACCTGAAATCCAGCCAAGAGCTGAACAGCAAAATGCAAAGATTCAGATAGGATCAGGTATCAAGTTACTGATATGATTTGGTAATTGTTTGAGCAGCTGGATTAAATTTTTACTAGAGCTGGGAAGAAACTGTTTCCTTCTTGGAAAAACTTGCAGACCAAAACCTTTCCCTTTTCACCCCAAGGCGAGTACCTCTGCAGTTTTGAAGGGCGAGAGCATCCTGCTGCAAACAGCCAGTTTAGGGCCCCTTCCAGGGATGCGGGAGACCCAGTTTATAGCCTTTTTTTGATCACTTTGCCCTGCTGAGTGACTGTCTTTACTCTTCCTGGGACCATTGTTCACTTTGACCTAAATAAGCTTATCAAATTGTTACAATTATTTGAATTAGTATTAATTGGAGCTTGAACAAGGTACTGTTGCAAGGTAAATCAGGTGTGCACAGCTGCTGAATTGCTGGGTCATTTTCTCTCTGGCAATCTGCACAAAGCAGTCAAAGTCCCAGTGAAGGAGATCAGGAATGGACAACGTGGCAGTAGCTTGGTGATCTGGATATTCTCCTGAGAAGAGAAATGCTGGTACAACTCTCTTGCTTCTAACATGAGTGCGTGGTCCAAGCCAGGGAGCAAGCGAGACTCTCTGCCTTTTGGAAGAAAGTTTCTCCTGGAACTAAGAAACTTGTCTGAAACTTTGTGATCATCACCGGTATTTTCCCACAATTTTTCTTCATGAATCAGTGCTTTATGGCTTAAGGAAAAATAACAGTGTCATCAGATAAATGAATTTTTAAAAACCCCAAACCCTGGGAGTTCCAATATTTACCCTTCCTTTTGATAACATTTAACTTTGTGCTTTCTAGATATAGCATGAGTAATTCTCTACGCTTTTGCTTTCTTAGGCAGAGCATTAGTGCTTATGTGACCTATATAACCAGTGACGGAGAAGATGATTCCTTAGAAACACGTTATACTCAGACTGTTTTTCTACATTGTTTAGGGAAGGCAGCTACATGATGGGGTCCAGTAAACTCCTTGAGAATTCTTCATTGCAGTGGCTGCCTTTATAGCAGCAACTCTTTTAAATTCCTGAGCTGTGCCTACCCTTCTGAGGTCAAAAATAATTGCAGGTGTAAGTGATGGAAATGTTGTATCGAAGTAGTTGTTGTTATTATTTCACATTTCAGTCTTGAAAGGCCAGGAATCCTGGAAGACCAGGTCCTCCTTCCTGTGAAAATCCCCCAAAACTCACTGCTAACAGCTTTTTTTCTTAATGAACATGCCTTGTATTATTGAGCATCCTAATCATTAAATGTATTGTTAATAAAAAGGTCTGTTTGGCTGAGGCTCTTCACTGGGCTAGAACTAAGTGGAATTTAAAATAACTACTGGAGCTCAGTAGTGACCCTCTTCCATCCTTTGAAGAGAGGGGATTTAAAAAGTGCAACATTTCTATCTGACTTAAGCTTTTATTGAGACACCAAGGTAGGGCTGAGGTTTATACCTTAAACACAGACCAGGTTTGCTGATATTTTGTAAATGTTTTGGTGTGCTTTGGGCAAGCTTTTAGCAAACTGTGTCTCAGCTATTATTTTGCTGTCAGTCTTCTGAAGCTCAGTGTTCCCATGTGGTTTCCACCCGGAACAACACAAAACCTGATGAATTTACCTGGAATTTACTTTTATTCTTGGGAACCTGAAAACTTGGAGCACTTTAGTATCATGTTTCTGAATTAATACACATTATAGGAAAAAGAAAATGATTGCACAGATTTATGTGAACTGGGATCATTAAGATATTGATAGTGTTTTCTTGGATACCTATTTATAAAACCTTGGCTTGCTGCTAGCCTTCTGTGAAAACTTTGCCAGCCTTGAGTCTAAATTTTCTCTATTCATAGGATAGGGATGGTTTGCCTGCCTTTTTCAGTGGATTGCTGCAAGCACTCTGAATCACATTTTTAAACATCATTGGGTAAAGAAGCTGCAGAGAGGAGTTTATAAACCATGTGACAAACCACCAGGAGGAGGAAGAGCTCAGAAGACTTTCTTGTGTGTGTGTGTGCATGTACATTTTGCTCAGTTTATCACCATTACTGCTAAATTACTTCTGTTGTCTCCCCATAGTCACTTATGTTTTTACTGATAATCTCGTGTTCTGCTGCCAGTTGTGTTTCCAGAGACTTACCGTTAGCGTAGTAGATGACTGATGGTGTACTATAATCTTTGGTTGATTCATTATATCTGGAACAATTAAAATCCGCTGCTTGTGTTTGAAAGGCTGAAACCTGAGCACAATTTCCTGCAAGTCAGAAACCCCCTGTGAGCAAAGGGAGCCACAGAAGCAGGGGCTGCAGCACAGCAGGGAACACAAGGAGCATCAGTGGGTAGATCACAGCAAAATCTAACCCTTCACCTTTTGTTTTAATTGTGTGCTGACTCCTACACAGCGATTTGACGGATAGAGCTGGCTTACTGACTCGGGAGTCTTGCCCTAATTGACTGCCGGTTTAGATACGGGAGCCTCTAACCAGTTGTTAAACTCTGAGTAGGCATGTCGGTAACATGCCGGCGAGAGTGTTTGGGGGAGGAGAAAGCTGCTGGGTGCATGCCTCTCGGATTCGGCTCCCCGCGCCGGGAGATGGGTGAGGTTGGGTGTGCGAGCTGTCACAAGCAGATAGTCAAGGGCAGCGAAGAGCGAGCTCCAGCGCTCTGCTTCCCGGGGGGAGAGAAAGGCTGCTGCTGAAAGTACAAGCTGGCAGGATCATGACGGAGCCAAGCTGCAGAAAGGAAGGATTTAAAAAATGCCGGAGTGCTACTTTCAGCATCGATGGCTATAGCTTTACAATTGGTGAGCCCGATTTAATTCCTCTTCTTTCCCTCGCTGTCTCTCTGCTCCTTCCTGCCTCTCTTTCTTCGCAGCTCCAGTTGAAAACTGCCTTTTCTCAATATATGCCTCTAAAATATAGAGATGCCCTGCAACTTTTGTCTGGGTTGGTTTTCCATTCTGTCTTCTATATTTTCCTCTGCCCAAGAAACTTGCCTATGAAATGCAGCTGCGCTAAATCCTTTTGCTGGGTTTTGGCAAGAGTTCACCGAGATGTTTGCTGAACTTTTGTTTTGGAACCTTATCTCAGGAAAGCCTGGGCTTCAGGATTGCAGGTTTCCAACTTGCTGGCTGCATTTCCTTTCGATGAGCCCAGAACATAACCCTTGGGAGCCTTGGCTTTGTTTCCAATATTTCTTTGTTCTCTGTAACCTTTTGCTATTTCTCAGTTTGCATAAAGATGTATGTAACAGTTCTTGTTGCCTCCCAAACACAAAAGCAAAATTGCTGCGGTAGGGAAAGATGGGAGGAGAGATTAGGAATTTTAGGACTGGTGTTTGTAGCTGTCTGGAGAGTGCAGTTTACTGTGTTCGCTGTTTTAGGGAAAAGTGAGGCACTTCAAAGCGACAGGTGTCTGTGTTTTTTTTCCAAGAGACATGCTGTACAAAAGTTAAAATCTGAGGATTTCCTGAGCAGGCTGCTCTGCTAAAACTGTGTATCTCACTAGATTGCGTTATGTAAATCTCTGTAGAGCTTAGAAACAAAGCAAGCTTACATCCCATTTTAATTTTTAGATGAAATCCAAGTTAAAATATGTGGATAACTTACTAGTAATAATCAATCAATACAAATTCCCCTTGAATAACTTTAAGATGTCGGAGATTGTACTTCCTTGCAGTTGTGAAATCAGGAAAGTTTTTCCTGATTTGTACCAGTGTAATTGCGTTGCAATTTAATCTAATAATGATGGATACAAGCTTTTTATTCGTGTGGGAGGAGGTACCTCTTTATTCCCCTGCTTTATGAAAAACTTGTTTTGCAATCATTAACTTCATGCAAACATTAAACTTGCTGAAAAAAACCTGGAGATGGAAATGTATGTTTCATTAAAATATTTTCATGTAGTCATCTGTTAATGTGCATAGAGCATTTTACATGTGACACTGCCAGGCGAATGCTACTTTTCAAATTTCCTTCTCTAATGGGAATGTGGTAGTCCCTCCACAGGTTAATTTGCAACATGCTCCCTTTTGAACTCTCTATCTTAATCTCTGCCCCTCTCAGCATCATTACTAATAGTATTATTTCATCAGTTTGTGTCAGTCTGGAGGATAAACATTTCCTTTTTGAGCCTAGGTACATTATCTGAAGACGCTGAACATTTATGACTGTGCCTAATTATTTTGTTTGTTCATGAACAAACGAACAGGATTGCTGTGTTTTGCTCTGCTGTCTTTATTGGCACTCATCCTCACAAAAAACTAGACCAAATTTTGGATCAGGTGACTCGGGTTTAGAATTGCAGCTTCATCTGCTTCTTAGGACAGTTGTTGCATAGGAGTCCCTGTGCTATTTTCTTCTGTTTGGTGCACACAATGAGTGTATTGATTCTGTGATCTGTGCATTATATAACATTTATTTTTGTATCTGGGCAAGTGTGCATTGCATTGACTCACATAGCCGTGAAAACTTTGTAAACATGCTATCTAGTCTTACCAGCACTGTGTGGTAGACAGACCTGAATGATTCACGCATTTGTTAGTCTTCATACTGAAGGAAACTAATTTATCCAAAAGATCCCACAGCAACATTAGCTTGTCAGGGATGGGCTTACACAGAATTCTCATCTGATGGAAAAAAGAAGTTTATGTAACTACTTTTGGGTGCTGCAAATTTGGAAGAAGTTCTTGGGAAATGCTGAGCAGCTGCATCTGCTATTGAAGTGGCAGCTGGGAGAGAAGAAGGCTGATACTCTTGAAGAACAGAGTAGCATCAGGTTGAGAGAACTGAGTTTCCATTTGGGTGCAAAAGAAAATATTTAGCATTGGTTCACCCATATACTAACTGCTAAGAAAGGATGATCTCCACAGCGCTTTGAAAAATGATCACTTACAATGAGACTTCATTAAGATTTTAATGAAAGGCCTAGGCCTAACATCAGCTGTGAAAGTCTGTGGGCATGGAAGAAGGCTGGCGCAAGAGCTCCCTGCTGATGGCTTGCAGTTAGGTAGCCTCGCGTCTCGGGAGAGGGTCAGCGCCTGTTCACACAGCAGCAGGACCTAGAGCAGCTCCTCAACTGCTCTAATTCTCCCCTGGTTTGCTGACAGTGCTGGTGGCGGGATGGGAGAGCTGTGGGAACTCCACGCTTCCCAAGGACTTCACAGATCCCGGTGGAAGGAGGGGATCTGCCATACTAGAAAGGCAAACATATGCCAATACTCGGTAGCTTGCTTCTGTATGAAGAAACAAGGTAGTTGCAAATCCCTTTCCTCCAGATACCTCCCTTTTGGCAGAGGCCCTGAGGAAAACTGAGCTGCGCTGCTCTATGCCCACTGAGGATTTCTGTGTTGTTTTGGATATTCTGCTTTTATGGACTTTTTACCCTCGTAGCATGATCTAAAGGGACTATAGTGGAGCCATCATGTGAGCCGTTTAGTGGGACCATTCAAGACAGGAATCAAGCAACATAGTTTGCTCTAGAAAGTTCAATATATCTCAGACGAAGGTTTCAAGATATTTATTTACCATTTGTCAGCAAACATCTGAGTCTGTGAAACTTTGTATACACATGTTATTGTATTTGAGTTCTTGTTTAACTTTGGCTAAATTTTCTTCCACTGAAAGTAAAACATAACAGAAAGGCAGCTGAGTTTAAGGGAAAACAAATTAAGAGTTAAGGTGATTGGGATATTTTTTGTTGGTGGGGGGTTTTTTGCCTTTTTTTGTTTGTTTGTTTGTTTTTTGTTGGTTGGTTGTGTTGGTTTTTTTTTCTTGTTGTTGTTTTTTTTTTTTTTTCTTTGGTCCTGCACCTTGTCTCATCATTCCTGAGCAAATGAAAGGCTACTAGATCAGAATGCCAGTGTGTTACTTACTGACTTTGCTGCTGTGACGGGCTGGCTAAAGCTGCAAGACGGAGAAACATCCACTGTCTTTAAACCTGGGAAAATGGTAAACACAAACATTAAGAGGAGGGTATTTTCTTTCTGCATTTATCACCTTCCTATGACTAAGAGCTAACTTCATTAAAGCTCCCACTCTCTGCTTTTCATATCCAGAAGCACCTGGCAACACTGTTTTGTCCCGTCCAATATATCTAATAAATTTATTTTTATAGATTAGAATGAAATGAAGTGATGGGGAGTTCTGCTGTAACTCAGGTGTTACTGGAGAGGAGGGATGTGGCACTGAAACACAGCCTGGCTCACAGCAGCTCTTTGTAAAGCTTGTAGGCAAGTTTCTTTGGGAGGACACTGTCTCCATTTTGCATGCAAAAGCTCTCCCTCCAGTTATTACAGAAGATCTGAGTTTTGCTCAGTGGTTCTTTTGGGCCCTATTTTGAAATAACTCTTTAAAAATCTGGTTTTCTTAATGTTGCTGGAGTTTCTCATGTTGCAGTTCACTACTGGAAACCCATTTCAACATCCCTTTCACCGTCACAGGTAGAAGAGCCAGAGCAGTTCTTGCGGGTCACTGACAGACCACTGCAGAAGTGCCTTCTGTGTTTTGGTCAGTGAAAATGTCGCTTGAGGAGGTGTGTGTGCTGTGTTGGTCTGAACTGGGGCAGGGAAGATTGGAAGCAAATGAAAGATTTAGCTCAGCTGTATTAGGATAAGGAAAAAATACCTTCAGCTCTGTGTTGCATGCTTAACTTTTAAAGAAAAACGCTGCTGTGGATTTTATTCTCTCTTGAAAGATTGTTCATTAGGAGTAGAATAGACAGGAATGGGCTTATAAAATTGTTCTAGAGAGAAGCAGTTTCATTTCTTTGTACTGTATGTTGGCCAGAGAACTGTGTACATTGTAGCAATTAACTGTTTTGTCCATCTGTATTGATTTTCAGCTGTATCGGAGTTTGTCATTTATCTGAGGGCAAGGGCACCTTTGCAACCCACAAAAGAGGCAGGTTTCAGCAGAAGACACTCCTAGGCCCATACGCAGTGCATTTTCATGGAGATTTACTTTCATTCTGCCCTTAGTTGCCTATAATAAAAAATGTCATTCTGACTGAAAGCACACTCTAATTATAAGGTGCTGACAAATCTCTCACTAATTCTGCATGTGCGTCACTCGTAGCCTTCACTCAAAGGAGGTCTGGGAGAAATGTCTGTCTGGGGGGTCAGTCTGCTTTTGGGAAGGGGGGAGGTATCTCTGTCCGCACGCGAACAAGGTCCCTGGCAAGAAGGTGAATCAGTAGCCACCAGTCCTGCTGTGGATTATAACAGCTCCTTGTCTCTGTAACTAAACTCTATCATTTTCTTTGTTATGTCATAATGCAAAAGATTTAAAAAACAACAGTGAACCCCCCCAAAATTTTGCCCTTCCCCTGATGGACCCTACTGAGAGGATATTTTCTCAATAACAGCTGATAGAAAGCATTGATGATTTCTGTGTAAATAGTGGAACACTGTTGTCTGAAATTGAGGAACTGGGAAATCTAAGTTTATTAATATAATACAAATACTAAGTATGCAATGGGACATGAGATTTTTAATGTAATTTAAGGAAGTCCGATGGAGTTATAATAGAGTATAAAGAATTAAAATCTCCTCCAATATAGTCCTACCCCCAACAAATTCACCTCAAGAAAGCTATCAGCAAATAGATTGTGAAACAAAGCTCTAAAGTTATGAGAGTTTTTTTTGCTCCCTCCATTACAGAGCTGTGTTTTAGCTACAGACCAGCCTGGTGTCTGTCTGCTCTGCCTGAAAATACACCTGAAAAGAGTCTGCATAGTTGGCATGCCTATGGGTGAGATACCTGGCTGGCCTTTGTGTGGGGAGGATGGTCTCTGCTACAGTGATGGG